CGTGCGGTTTGGGGAGGTGAAGAGTTCCGGTTTGGAGCATGTGGAGCTGCCTTTGGAGCTGAGCAGCGGCAGCACAACCACAAGGCAATCCTCCCTTGTGAATGGGGGAGAGGAGGCCAATGATGCAGAGGAAGAAGAGGAGGAGGTGCAGCAAGTGAGCGAGCGTGCACCGTCACTCCCTTCCCGTACTACGAGTGCTCCACGGATTCGAGCCACACCGCAGCAACGCCAAGGCCTTCAAGTCCCTGCAGCTGAGGAGGAAGGAAGGGGGAAGAGGAGAGTTCAACCCCCTAATAGGCTGACTTATGATGCGCCGGGAAAGCAGGGCAAGACAGCCCTGGCCGGAGCGGCAATGATGGTCGGAGACGACGAGGAGAGTGACTACGAGGAGTGTGCCTTCGCGTTCTTCTCTCCGGTGGAGATGCCGGGAGAACCAGCAACTCTCAAGGAGGCTTTGGAGAGTAGTGATGCTGAGGAGTGGAAGAAGGCCATGGAGAGTGAGCTGAAGAGCATCGAGGAGAATGACACGTTTGAATTGGTGGAGCTACCGGAGGGGCGTACGGCGATAACGTCCAAGTGGCTCTTCAAAATCAAGTCGGATGCCGACGGCAAGATCGAGCGCTACAAGTCTAGGCTTTTAGCCAAGGGGTACCAGCAGAAGGAGAAGGTGGACTTCAAGGAGCTGTTTGCCCCTGTGGTGAAGCCGACGACGCTGCGAACCCTATTCGCGGGAGCCGCCATCAAAGGATGGGTAGTAAAGCAAATGGACATCGTAACGGCATTCCTTAACGGCATCCTTGAGGAGGAGATTTTTATGGCGCAGCCAGAGGGGTTTGATGATGGTAGTGGCAGAGTGTGGAAGCTGAAGAAGGCCCTCTATGGGCTGAAGCAGGCCCCTAGGCAATGGTACATGAAGCTGCGCGAAGTGTTGGAGGGGATCGGCTTCACTCCCTCAACGGCCGATCACTCCTTGTTCATGCTTGGCGAGGGGGAGCAGAGGAGTTTCATGGTGGTTTATGTGGATGACATCCTCATTTTCTCACCCTCTTCTGACCTTGTGAAGGAGGTGATGCTGAAGCTTCAAGACAAGTTCAAGTGCAAGGCCCTTGGTGACGTGAGCTTCTACCTTGGGCTCCACATCGAACGAGATGTGGAGAAGCGGTGCATGCGGGTGCATCAACGAAAGTACCTGGAGGCATTGTCTGCCAACTTTGGGCAGAGTGAAGGCCATGTGGCTACACCCTTTCCCTCTGGGTTCAAGTGTGTGAAGGGACCAGAGGAGGAGAGCGTTGGTGAAGAGGAGAGGCGCCGATTTCACTCGTTGGTGGGCAGCCTCATGTATGCGGCGGTAAACACCCGACCGGACGTCGCGTTTGCTACCGGGCAGCTGGCTAGGGTTGTGCAATGCCCTAATGAGGAGCAGGTAGCAGCTGGAATGAGGGTGGCCAAGTATCTTGGCCAAACACCGACCGTTGGGCTGCAATACTCGGCGGCGGCACAAAGGCGCCAAAAGGGCGCGGATGGTGTTGAACCCGGGCGTTTGTTCCTCACCGCCTACTCGGATGCTTCATATGCATCAGAACCAGAGGACATGACAAGTGTGGGAGGCTTCATATGCTGTGTTGGTGGAGGCCCAACTGCTTGGGAGAGCAAGAAGCAGGTTGACCAAGCTTTGAGCTCGGTGGAGTTCGAGTACATGGCACTCTTCCGTGCCGTACGGGAGATTGTGTGGCAGCGGCGTTTGTTGGCTGAATTGGGGGAGGAGCAGCAAGGACCTACCCCACTGTACTGTGACAGCCAGGGTGCCATTGCTCTTGCTAAGAACCCTGTGTTGCATGGACTCACGAAGCACATGAGGGTGAAGTGGCATTGGACGAGGAGCATGGTAACCGCGGGTGAAGTTGAGTTGCGCTACGTGAAGACCACGGGGCAGCCGGTTGACATGATGACCAAGAGGCTGGTGGAGCAGCAGCATTGGAAGTGTTGCAAGCTGGCTGGGATGGCTCTGAACTGAGAGAGCAACATATCCTAAGGCCAACAATCCGAGGGGGAGTTTGTTGGTGCAACCCTACGGTTTGCACTCGGCTTGTTGTCCGTGTGCGTGAATGTGTGTGTGTATGGAATGGTATGAGGGCATGGGATAATATATATTTCATGCTTATAATTGTGTGTGAATGTTGAGTCATGATGTCGAGTGTGTGTGTCGAGTCAATAGCGAGTTATCGCTAGACGCGTGTTACGCGGTCGTTTGTGTCTCGCGCGCGGTTTCTATTTTGTCGTGCGCGGTTTCTATTTTGTCCTGTGTCGAACGTTCGGCGTGTCGCAGGTGTGTGCAGCAGACCCATCAAGAACTCAAGGATGAGTTTGTGATGAAGAGCCCGAGCCTTGGTGTCAAGCCTCAAGTGATTTCGAAGCTTGCCAAAAGGGTACACCTCAAGATATTGAAGATAGTTACATTACTTTGTGTAGTGTAACATTTCACTTGGTGTAGGCCCTAGTGAAGGGTAGTTTCGAGACCCTTCGTGGTTGGGGATAGTGTGGCACTGTTCCACATCACTGTACCTCGGCTCTTGGGGTTTGTAGGAGCTGGGAGTCATTCCCAACTCGTAACTCTTCCTATCTTGTGTTCTAAGACTATAGTGGCTGCCATAGTACCGTTCGTTCAAATCGACGCTGTGTCGTCAATTCTTTATCAAATCGTGCAATCTAAATTGCTAATTGTAGACGACGTGAAGACGCTCCAGATCCCATTTGAATCAAGTCATTTGCAGCTGTGAGCAGAACGTTATCAACGTTTGAAGCCGCTGTGCAGAAATCCGTCTGTGCTCTCTATCTTTCGTTTTAGGCACATTCAAGCCTATTGTGACTATAACACCCCCGTGGTCGCCACGACGGACGACGGGAGGGGACCGCGCGCGAGCCCCCCGTGGTCGCCACGACGGGCGACGGGACGTGAGGCCGCGCGGGCCCCCGGTAGCAGTAGAAACGACGGGCGCCACGACGGGCGCCACGGAGGGGTAAGCCGCCACGCGTCCCGAGCGCGCGGCGGGCAGAAACCCTAATTTCGGCGCCGCGCACCACGGGGCGCGCGGCGGACAGTACGGCAGCGGAAGCGGGAGGTGGGCCCATACACAGGAAGGCGGCAGACATGCCGCCCTCTGATACCATGTCAGATATAGTAGGAGTACGGCCTAGGCTTAGTAGCCTAGGCCACAGTAGGACTACGAAAGGAGGCGCCAAGTACGAGCTAGGATTGTGTGCAGGAACAGAATTGAGAAGGAGGTGATTGAACTAGCAAGCAGCAGGATACAAATAGCAAACCCTAAGGGGCTGTACTCACTATTGAGTACCCCACTGCAGGCTACACAAACAACATATTCTGACAAGTAGGCCAGTAGGCCAGTAGGCCAGTAGGCGAGTAGGCGAGTAGGCGAGTAGGCCAGTAGGCCAATAGGCCAATAGGCCAATAGGCGAATAGGCGAATAGGCGAATAGGCGAATAGGCGAATAGGTGATTAGGCGAAGGCCAATAGGCCAATAGGCCAATAGGCCAATAGGCCAATAGGCCAGTAGGCCAGTAGGCCAGTAGGCCAATAGGCCAAAAGGCCAGTAGGCCAGTAGGCCAGAAGGCCAGTAGGCCAGTAGGCCAGTAGGCCAGTAGGCCAGTAGGCCAGTAGGCCAATAGGCCAATAGGCCAATAGGACATTAGGCCAATAGGCCAATAGGCCAATAGGCCAATAGGCGAATAGGCGAATAGGCCAGTAGGCCAGTAGGCCAGTAGGCCAGTAGGCCAGTAGGCCAATAGGCCAGTAGGCCAGTAGGCCAATAGGCCAATAGGCCAATAGGCCAATAGGCGAATAGGCGAATAGGCGAATAGGCGAATAGGTGATTAGGCGAAGGCCAATAGGCCAATAGGCCAATAGGCCAATAGGCCAATAGGCCAATAGGCCAATAGGCCAATAGGCCAGTAGGCCAGTAGGCCAGTAGGCCAATAGGCCAGTAGGCCAGTAGGCCAGTAGGCCAGTAGGCCAGTAGGCCAGTAGGCCAATAGGCCAGTAGGCCAATAGGCCAGTAGGCCAATAGGCGAATAGGCGAATAGGCGAATAGGTGAATAGGCAAATAGGCCAGTAGGCCAGTAGGCCAGTAGGCCAGTAGGCCAGTAGGCGAGTAGGCCAGTAGGCCAGTAGGCCAGTAGGCGAGTAGGCCAGTAGGCCAGTAGGCCAGTAGGCCAGTAGGCCAGTAGGCCAGTAGGCCAGTAGGCCAGTAGGCCAGTAGGCCAGTAGGCCAGTAGGCCAGTAGGCCAATAGGCGAATAGGCGAATAGGCGAATAGGCTAATAGGCGAATAGGCCAGTAGGCCAGTAGGCCAGTAGGCCAATAGGCCAGTAGGCCAATAGGCGAATAGGCGAATAGGCGAATAGGCGAATAGGCGAATAGGCGAATATGCGAATAGGCCAGTAGGCCAGTAGGCCAGTAGGCCAGTAGGCCAGTAGGCCAGTAGGCCAGTAGGCCAGTAGGCTAGTAGGCCAGTAGGCCAGTAGGTGAATAGGTGAATAGGCGAATAGGCGAGTAGGCGAGTAGGCGAGTAGGCGAATAGGCGAATAGGCGAATAGGCGAATAGGCCAGTAGGCCAGTAGGCCAGTAGGCCAGTAGGCCAGTAGGCCAGTAGGCCAGTAGGCCAGTAGGCCAGTAGGCTAGTAGGCGAATAGGCGAATAGGCGAATAGGCGAATAGGCGAGTAGGCGGGTAGGCGAGTAGGCGAGTAGGCGAGTAGGCGAGTAGGCCAGTAGGCCAGTAGGCCAGTAGGCCAGTAGGCCAGTAGGCCAGTAGGCCAATAGGCCAGTAGGCCAGTAGGCCAGTAGGCCAGTAGGCCAATAGGCCAATAGGCCAATAGGCGAATAGGCGAATAGGCGAATAGGCGAAGGCCAATAGGCCTATTGGCAAACCGGATGCTGGCCCTATTTAGGTTGTTGGCAACCGGATGCTGGCAGGCTGGCACGAGATATGCAGTGGCGTTACCAGGGGAGCGAGAGCAGGGAGGGGAGTGCTGGTGAGGAGGAGGAGGTGCAGGCGGTGCAGTGGGTGGTGCTGCTGTTTCTGTACGCTGCTGTTCAATTCGACGATAGGTAAGCTGCCTCAGTGACAAATCTTGTTGCTGCTCGCACACATGCACACATTCAAGTCCTTCACCTGCACTGCACATACCTCTCCCATTTCACCTCTCTGTTTCTCTCCCCTTGTGCCTCGCCAACACCCATGGCACGTGTGCCTCGCCAACACCCATGGCACGTGTGCCTCGCCAACACCCATGGCACGTGTGCCTCGCCAACACCCATGGCACGTGTGCCTCGCCAACACCCATGGCACGTGTGCCTCCCCAACACCCATGGCACCTGTGCCTCGCCAACACCCATGGCACGTGTGCCTCGCCAACACCCATGGCACGTGTGCCTCGCCAACACCCATGGCACGTGTGCCTCGCCAACACCCATGGCACGTGTGCCTTGCCAACACCCATGGCACGTGTGCCTCGCCAACACCCATGGCACGTGTGCCTCGCCAACACCCATGGCACGTGTGCCTCTCCTGTGCGGAGCAGGCTGGTGGACTATGAGGACATGCTTGGCGCGCTGCAGAGCTTGGTGCTCTCCAACCGCATCCCACCACTCGGATCGCCACTCCTCCCCCTCCCCTCCCTCGCACCTTCTCCCCACAACCACCTCTCGGACGCCCACTCTCCCCCACCCGCCACCGCCACCCGCTCCACCTTTTTCCTGCTTGTGTTCCTGTCGCTGCACGCGCTGCTGCGCCCCTGCTGCTCCACTGTCTCGTTTGACGCGCAGCACCGCCTCCTCTGCTTCCTGCACCGCCACGCTGCAGTGCTCTCCTTCCCCCTCACCGCCTGGCACCTGGCTCTACCGCACTGGATCCTACTACGGGACGGTTTGGAGGAGCTGAGCCACAGCCTCGTGCACTCCTGGCTCTGCGCTGCTGCTGCCTCCCTGCCGCCTCCCTCTGCCTCAGGCCCCTCGCCCGGAACCAGCAATGCAGCAGTAGCAACAGCAGGCAGCGGTGGTGGCAGTTTAAGGAATGTAGGTGAGAGTTCGGGCGCTGGTGCTGCGGGTGGTGAGACGCCGGAGCTGGATGCTGTCGGTAGCTTGCTCAGCGGTGGCAGTGAGAGCAGCAACTCCAGCAGCAATGGAGTGGATGAGATGAGCGGTGACAAGGAGGAGGCAGGGAGGCGGTGTGCTAGGGTGGTGGCGGGGGTGGTGAGGGAGATGTGGAGGGCGGGGGGGGAGTGGCAGCAGCTGGCACAGGTGACTGAGGCTCTGGCGATCCTGGTGGACAGGCATCCGCATTTGAGTGCCCGATTGGAGCAAGGGGCGCTCTCAACCATGGTACGTCAGTGACATCCGGTCTCCCTGTGCCTCAACAGCTGCTACCTTGGAGAGTTGCGCCTTGTTATTGCTCGTAATTGGTTCTTCTTGTGTATCCCACGATGCCATAGCCAACTGCCTCCCCTCTCCTCTGCTACCACACACCCTACTTGCTCCCTCCCTCCGTTTCTTGCCTCCCTTCGCCCCCCTCCCCCCCACTGTGTGCGTGCACCAGTACATAGAGGCCATGCTGCTGAGCGGCTCTAACCTACCGCCGCCTCTGCTGCTCTCCACCCTGCACCTGCTGGCCCGCCTGCTCTCCCACCTGCCCCCCAAGCCCCCCGTCCCTCCGCGCATGGGAGGGCGGCTGCAGTCACCGCCACAGCAGGCAACAGCGTGGGAACGCTTAGCGCAGCAGGTGAGGAGATCTTGCTGTTCCTGTATGCACCATCATGTGCCTCTCTTTTCTTATAAGGAAAAATTTCATTGTAATCAAACTCGGTACGTGCATGCCTCCCATGGCGCCAATGCTACCCGTCCCAGGTGCTGATTGTGGTTGAGCCACTGGTGGAACCTACTGCTGTCAGCAGCACTGCGAGCGCTGCTCCTCCCACTCTCTCACAACAACAGCAGCCGCAGCAGCAGCAGCAGCAATATAGCCAGGCATACAGGCAGGCACAGGTGCATAGTGGTGATGGTGGCGCAGGGAGCGAGCAGGAGGAGCGTGGCGAGAGGGAGCAGGTGCTGGTGGGGGCGTTGAGCGTGATCAACGCACTGCTGTGGCACGCAACAACACTCTACACACCCAGTGGCGCTGACCCATGCAGCCAACCCAACGAGCTCAACGGAGCAAGATCGGGCAGCAGTCGTACAGTGGGCGATGCGCGGCTGATGGCAGTGGTGGAGGCAAACGAGGACGTGGTGAATGCGGCTGGCACCATCATGATGAGCGCGGCTCTTGTGGGCTTCACAGAGGGGTGTGTGCGGGCTGCTGCACGTGGCATCTGTGGAACCACTGGTGATCTCGAGGACACGCCAGCAGTGGCTGGTGGGGGGACGCAAGGAGGGGGATGTGGTGTGGGTGTGGTGCAGGCGCGAGGGAGTGGGGGAGTGTGGCAAGGCTACTCCTGCCGTGTGCTGCTCTCCTGTCTCACCTTCTTCAACCTGCGTGTCTCATGGTACGTACGCCCCTGCCCCCTCCACCCTACCACTAATGATGCATGCACCAGTCATCGGGCACTGCCTGATAGGTATTCCACAACAAGTACCCCAACATCGAGCATAGTCTTTTGAGCTTCAGTATGCTCCTACACCTCACCAGCTCTCACAGCCGGCAGCTCTCACAAGCATGCCCTCTCTGCTGCCTGCCCCAACTGCCTGTCCTCCCACCACAGGGTGCATGCACTCGAGGCTGCATCCATTCTCCCCTCAGGCATTCCACCTCTCAATCTCTCGCTGCGATTCTCGCCTCCATCGCCGCAACCAGCAGCGACACCAGCAGCCATACCAGCAGCAGCAGCTGAAAGCGCCACTAGTCCTGCCGCAGGCTGTGCCAGTCAGGGCGACCCAGCAGCCCCCATGCGGCAGGCGCAGCAGCAGGAGCGCCCCGCCGTGCTGAGCTTGGCCTCCGCTTGCGACCTCGCTGCCATTCTGCTCGCGGCCGCTGCCGCCCAGCTGCCCGCCACCGTGGCCGCACACAGCAGAGAGCAGCGGGTGGGAGGAGCAGCGGGACCAGGCCGTCCCCCTGGGAACAGCAGTGGTTGCGGCAAGGCCGATGGGGATGAGAGGAAGGGAGCGGAGAGCAGGTCATGGGCAGGGAGGGCGGGTGGGAGATGCGGGCATGCGAGCATGCAAGACTCCTTTGTGGCTGCTGACCTTGCCTCGTGCGCCCTGCTCTCCTGCCTCTCCTCTCTCGCCCTCCCTGCACGTGCCTCCTCAGCACATCGCCCTGCACTACCCTTGGACCAAGGCGGCTCTGTCCCTTTTGCCCATCCTGCCGTACCACCCCTGCTGCCTGCACCAGTGAACACCCCAGGTGAAAGCAACCTACGCTTGTCACAGCAGGAGCAGCAGGAGCGCCAGTATGATGTACCATCCACTCAGCCCTCCCCCCTGACCCCTCCCACTCCTGCTCCCCCCACTGCGCTCCCTCCCCTCCCTGCCGCTGTCTTCTGGCCGATCGCTGCTGCGCTGCAGCATGCAGCCTCGTGCCCACACCCCCCTGTGCGGCGCAACACGTGCCTCGCACTCTCCCTGCTGCTGCGCTGCTTTGATCCAACCTCTGTCGCTCTCCCCCTGGCAGCCAGCCCCTGGACTCGCCTGCTGCTAGACGATGCCCTTGCCTCTATCACTGCCGCCGCTGCTGCCACTGCTGCTGGACCTTCTGCTGCCGCTGTCACTGCTGCTGCACCAGATGCAGCAGCGGTGCGAGCAGGTGAGAGCAGGCCTGCTGGGGAAGCAGTGCAAGCCCAGTCCTCCTCGTGCCCCTCGCCCGCCCTGCTGGACCTCCTGCTCTCCCACAGCCTAGAAGCCCTCCACATCGCTGCCTCCTGCTTTCACCTCGCCCCACCCACCGCCCCTCCTCGATGGCTCCCTCAAATCTTCCAACCTGCCCGGGTCTCTGCTCTCGTGGGCTCGCTCTGGCGAACCCGCCAGCTGTCTCTGCCCGCCATCGCCACGTGTCACTGGCTCATTGGTGCGGGCCTGCTACCTCGCGCTGTTCTGCCCCAGCTTCTGGACCTCATTCAGGTACGGGAGAGAGAGAGAGAGAGAGAGAGAGAGAGAGAGAGAGAGAGAGAGAGAGAGAGAGAGAGAGAGAGAGAGAGAGAGAGAGTGGGGGATGAAGGGGCGTGGGGGATGAAGAGGTGTGGGGAATGCAAGGGCCTGCATTGTCTGTCTCAGCTCTTGCACACTCGCTCCACGCATACTGCCCATCCATGCACCACACTGACAGCTTCCTCCCCAACACTGTCTCCCTGCAGGCACATGCCCGACCACAGCCACAGCACAGCACCGGCAGCAACACCACCAGCAACTCCTCGTCCACGCTTACTGTTCGGCCTGTCTGGCTGGCGGGTTGCCTTGTGCTCTGCAGCCTCTCCATCCCTGCCGCTCTCTCCAATCCCTGTCTCGTGGACCCCTCGCTCCCTGCCACCCTGTCACAGCAGTGCGCTGCGTTCCTTGCCCTGCACGCCAAGCTGCCTCGCTGCACGCAGTAGCCCGTGCTGCCCTGCCTGCCTTGCCGTGCACCACTGTGGGACATGGAGACGTGATACAGGTATTGAGGAGCATTGAACGCAAGTGGCTCAAGTACAACTGATGCTACCATATCACTTGCCACCCGTTCGCCACGGGTGCTTTTCCTCGCATGTGGTCGCGTTCAGAAGTCTCATTGCATTGCCAATGCCTCTATGAGTGAACCCCCACCAGAATTTCGCCCACAATCAACCAAGAACGAGGGCTCTTGGATATCCCCAGAGTAGCTCAATGTCCCCATCAACCTTCATGAGGATAGGCATGCCAAACTGCATGTATATGCCATGTGTCACTTGCTGTGCATGGTGTCTTTTTGGGCTGGAGAAGTGTGTATGCCAAGAATGCAGTCATGTTGTAAGCTACCACCGCAAGCCCAGCTTGCACTGTGCGGTCAAGGCTGTGAAATCCCCTGCCTGGTGTTCAGTGCCTTTCGCCCCCTGCCTGGTGTTGGGTGGTGGGTTCCACAGTCCACTGCCAGTGAAGAGGATTAGTGGTAGCAGCAGGGACCTCCATGTGATACAACCTCCATGTATGTTGGTGCACTAATACAAGAGCAATAATGCAAGGGAGTTGAATGGCATTATCTGTGAAAAAGCTCCATTTCTCTAATTACCACTTGAACATAACAAGCTACGTACATAAAACCATTATAGAGGTACAAGGTACACATCAGTTACAACATCTACCCTGCAATGTAATGGAAGTGCCTTAAAGCCAGGATCTCAAGTAAGAGAATTGGCCTTCAATTGCAAAACACTTGCAGCGCTTGTTACCCTATTTTTGTAGGCGAATTGACTGGCTGGTTAGGAAAGTGAGCGTGCGGCACACCCACGATTTTGCCCCTAGAGCAAATGCAAAACATTTTGCTGGTACATGAGATTGTTGTGTGTGACGAGAAATTGCAGGCATTGGAGCTTCGTCACCGAACCAGTTTCCGAGCCTTGCTTGGTTCGGACTGAACTTGCGATTTGTCTTTACTTCGCACCCCTCGCTTCACACCTCGTCAGATTGTTCACCTCGCTAACCAATCGCAGCCCAGCTCCCCTCACCAACTGCAAAACAATTCAACAACTTGAGATCCTGGCTTTAACTCCTCACTTCAGGCTCACTTCTACACCAATCCATCCTTCCCCAGCCTATCTTTGCGATATCTACTCCACTCCTCTGTACTCCCCTTCTTCTCTACTCCCCTCCTCTTCTCCCCTTCGCTGTCCCCCTTCTGCTCCATTCCCCCTTCTTTTCTGCTCTACTCCCCTTCTTATCTGCTCTGCTACTTTTTTACTCACTCACCCTTCCCTTCACTACACCAATCATGGCCTGTACTGCTGCCTGCTTCGCTGCTGCTTCTCCTACACTGCTTCACTGCTTCACTACTACGCTGCTACACTGCTACACTCCCCTTCTTCTCTACTCCCCTCCTCTTCTCCCCTTCGCTGTCCCCCTTCTGCTCCATTCCCTTTCTTTTCTGCTCTACTCCCCTTCTTATCTGCTACACTGCTACACGGCTACACTGCTACACTGCTACACTGATTCACTGCTACACTGCTTCACTCACTGCTACACTGCTACACTGCTTCACTGATTCACTGCTACACTGCTACACTCCTTCACCCCTTCACTCCTTCACCCCTTCACATCTTCACCCCTTCACAGCTTTACCCCTTCACAGCTTCACCCCTTCACTGCTTCACCCCTTCACTGCTTCACCCCTTCACTCCTTCACTGTTTTTTTTTTTTTTTTTTTTTTTTTTTTTTTTTTTTGGTGTGGGCTCGTGCACGAGCCATGGGAGGATAAAAAGCCGTCCCCCCAGCTCCCCCTTGGGTGGGTTTGCCGACGGACCGAGACCCTCAAAACAGGGTACTGCCGTTCATTCGGCTAAAAACCTTCGTGAAACCCCAGCTGCTTATCTGCTTCGTCCCTCCATCTCTACTCTCCATCCCTTTCCTTCACCCCTTCTCTGCTGCTTCACCCCTTCTCTGCGTTTTCCTTAGCAGCCCTTAGCAGTTTCCTTAGCAGCTCTTAGCAGCTTCTCAGCAGCTCCCTTAGCAGACCTTAGCAGCTTCCTTAACAGTCGTTAGCAGCTTCCTTAACAGCCCTTAGCAGCTCTTTAACAGCCCTTAGCAGCTTCCCTCCTCTCATCTGCTTCACCCCTTCTCATCTGCTTCACCCCTTCTCTGCTTCACCCCTTATCTCTGCTTCACCCCTTATCTCCTCACCCCCTTCTGATCTGCTTCACCCCTTATCTCTGCTTCACCCCTTCTCTCTGCTTCACCCCTTCTCTCTCCTCACCCCCTACTCTCCTTCAACCCATCTCTGCTTCACCCCTACTCTCCTTCAACCCATCTCTGCTTCACCCCTACTCTCCTTCAACCCATCTCTGCCTCATCCGGTCTCTCCTTCACCCAATCTCTCCTTCACCCACTCTCTGCTTCACCTTGTCTCTCCTTCACCCAATCTCTGCTTCACCTTGTCTCTCCTTCACCCAATCTCTGCTTCACCTTGACTCTCCTTCACCCAATCTCTGCTTCACCCTGTCTCTCCTTCATACCATCTCTGCTTCACCCCTTCTCTCCTTCCCCCCTTCTCTGACACCCCTTCTCTCCTTCCCTTTTCTACTACACCCCTTCTCTCCTTCCCTTCTCTCACCCCTTCTCCAACAAACCACTTTTTTTTTTTTTTGTTGGTGTGGGCTCGTGCACGAGCCATTGGAGGACAAAAATCCGTCCCGCCAACTCCCCCTTGGGTGGGTTCACCCCTCCTCTTCTCCCCTTCTCTGTCCCCCTTCTGCTCCATTCACCTTCTTATCTGCTCTGCTACTTTTCTACTCACCCACCCTTCCCTTCACTACCAGTCATGGACTGTACTGCTGCACTGCTTCGCTGCTTCTTCTTGTACACTGCTTCACTGCTACACTGCTACACTGCTACACTGCTACACTGCTTCGCTGCTACACTGCTTCACTGCTACACTGCTTCACAGCTTCACAGCTTCACAGCTTCACTGCTTCACTGCTACACTGCTACACTGCTACACTGCTATACTGCTATACTGCTACACTGCTACACTGCTACACTGCTACACTGCTACACTGCTACACTGCTTCACTGCTACACTGCTACACTGCTTCACTGCTTCACTGCTACACTGCTACACTGCTACACTGCTACACTGCTACACTGCTTCACTGCTACACTGCTTCACTGCTACACTGCTACACTGCTTCACAGCTTCGCTGCTACACTGCTACACTGCTTCGCTGCTTCGCTGCTTCGCTGCTACACTGCTACACTGCTACACTGCTACACTGCTTCACTGCTTCACTGCTTCACTGCTACACTGCTACACCCCTTCACTCCTTCACCCCTTCACCACTTCACAGCTTCACCCCTTCACAACTTCTCTCCTACCCGTTTTTTTTTTTTGGTGTGGGCTCGTGCACGAGCCATGGGAGGATAAAAATCCGTCCCGCCAGCTCCCCCTTGCGTGGGTTTGCCGACGGACTGAGACCCTAAAAAGCAGGGTACTGCCGTTCATTCGGCTAAAAACCTCCGTGAAACCCCAGCTGCTAAAAACCTCCGTGAAACCCTAAAAAGCAGGGTATCTGCTTCATCCCTCCATCCCTTCTCTCCGTCACCCCTTCTCTGTTGCTTCACCCCTTCTCTGCTGCTTCACCCCTTCTCTGTTGCTTCACCCCTTCTCTGCTGCTTCCTTAGCAGCCCTTAGAAGCTTCCTTAACAGCCCTAAGCAGCATCATTAGCAGTTCCCTTAGCAGCTCTTAGCAGCTTCCTTAGCAGCTTCTTTAGCAGCTTCTTAGCAGCTCCCTTAGCAGTCCTTAGCAGCATCCTTAGCAGCTTCCTTAGCAGCCCTTAGCAGCTTCCTTAACAGCCGTTAGCAGCTTCCTTAACAGCCCTTAGCAGCTTCCCTGCTCCCTTAACAGCAGCTACCCCACTCCTTCACCCCCTCCTCAGCATCACGGGTTTGAGGAACTGACTGTTCGGCGAGTAGCAAAGGATTCAAAGGGCACCAAGAGGAAAGGACCCTCCACACCCACGCCAGTGTGGAAAAGTCCGTGGCATCAAGTCCTCCTCACCCACGCCAGTGAGGAAAAACTTGCGGTAACCGAGTCACCCCAAGGGAATCGCTACCTGGAGTGTGTGGTATCCATTGCAACCGCCGGCCGGCCGGTTGGTCAGGACCAGCCTCCATCACAGATTCCCTTGAAGCTCCCCGACCACCGCATGCCACAACCCCTTGGCCTCAGCATGCACACTAAGTTGCCCTTTGCCTCCGCGCCACCCACCATCCCAGTCAAAACCTCGCCACCGCTCTGCCAAAGGTTCTAGCCGCTTCCCCCTCCCCTCGTCTCCTCTCTTGACAGAATCGTGGCTGATTCAGTGCGGCTGCTGTCTGCTATAGCTGCTGCGTTGGCTACCGTTGTCCTGCTACCGTTGTCCTGCTACCGTTGTCCTGCTACCGTTGTCCTGCTACCGTTGTCCTGCTACCGTTGTCCTGCTACCGTTGTCCTGCTACCGTTGTCCTGCTACCGTTGTCCTGCTACCGTTGTCCTGCTACCGTTGTCCTGCTACCGTTGTCCTGCTACTGTTGACCTGCTACCGTTGAAGGGCGGTGTGTGCTGCTGACGTTGGAAGGGGAGGTGTGTCCTGCTGACGTTGGAAGGGGAGGTGTGTCCTGCTGACGTTGGAAGGGGAGGTGTGTCCTGCTGACGATGGAAGGGGAGGTGTGTCCTGCTGACGTTGGAAGGGGAGGTGTGTCCTGCTGACGTTGGAAGGGGAGGTGTGTCCTGCTGATGTTGGAAGGGGAGGTGTGTCCTGCAGACGTTGGAAGGGGAGGTATGTCCTGCTGCCGTGACGACCGTTGAAATTGCTGCTGCCGTGGAAGACGTTGAAACCGCTGCTGCCGTGGAGACGTTGAAACCGCTGCTGCCGTGAAGTTGAAACCGCT